AGAGCAGACCCACCCCGACTCTTAAAAAACAGGCGACAAACGAGGACAAAACTCTGTATCTCGCTTCATTCCTAGCACAACTCTCTACATCCCTCAGCTCCCAGCTTCTGACTTAAAAATTATCCAAAATAGTCGATTCATGCTTTTAGATCTTTGGTAGGTGGGAAAGAGGAAGGGGGAAAGGAGTTGATCCAGGATACTGGAAACAAAAGGTAATAATCCAATAGTGGCTTCGTACCAGGCGCAGTGTTAGATGATGCCCATATTTGTCTTATTTACTTCTCACAATATCCTGGTGAAGTATTTTTGCTGCTAACCATTTCACAGAGGAAGAAAATGAGGCTCAGAGACGTTAGGTAACTCATCCAAGGTCACACAGTCAGTGGGAGAGTCGGCACTGGAACCCAGGTCTCTTGGATTCCAAAGCCTTTTTCCACAGCTGCCTCTCTAAATGAACGCATGTGATAATGAAAACAATGGTGTCCTCAACAACGCCCAAATCCTCATGTCTTTCTACATGTTGTGTTTTCACTCAGTTCCTGCTAGCTGAACTTGAGATCGGCCCTGACCTGAAGATCTCCATCAAGGACGAGGAGCTCGCCTCCTTGAGGAAGGCCTCTGCCTTCCGCACCGTCTGCAATGACGTGATCCCCAAACGCATCCCAGACATCCGCCGGCTGAGTGCCACCCTCTCCAGACACCCCGGCGTCCTCCAGAAAGAGGACTTTGAAAGGACAGTGCTGACCCTGGCCTACGCAGCCTACCGCACAGCTCTGTCCCAAGGGCATCAGAAGGACATCTGGGCCCAGTCCCTCCTCAGTCTCTTCCAGGCCCTGAGGCATGACTTGATGCGGTCCTCAGGCTCCAGAGTGTCTCTCCGAGAGACTGGCCCGCACCAGGACTGAGGATCAGGGCCCAGCACACACAGTAATCCAGAAATTCTTCATTCTCTACTCCACTTACAGGGACCAGCATCAAAACACATGCCACCAACTCAGAGTAACAGAGATAAAATAATTAAGCCCAATGCTCTTTGCCCCTTGTAATTTCCTGACAAGCACATCTGACTCATGTCATACATAATGTGACCTGGGCTGGAACAAAGGGCTGACATGGTGCCAAGACACCTCCAGAGGCCAAGCAGTGTGCTGGGTGACCTGCAGAGTCTAAGATACGCTTCGACACTGAGTGACTGCCACAGACACCCAAGAGTGAGGACAGAGCTGGAGGAGACATCCTAGAGGTTTGAGCATGGTGGGAAGATGGGGGACAGATTTCTTTGGTCCTAAGAGATCAGGGTGCTGGGTTGAATGAACATCTTTCTGCAAGTTCTGTAGTAAGATATAAAGAAGCTAGTGCGATAACCAAATAAACACGTTGTTAGTCAAGGATATATTTCTCAACTTTTCCAAAAGTCACTGAGAAGAATCAGTTAGAAAATCGGTAATTTTATGACCTATAAATCTTGACTCTTCTCATCTGAAGGCTGGTCTCATCAGAGGAGAAACATGAGGGGGGGTTATGCCTTGTCTTTTGAACAGAGAAACCAAGCTAACGCAGAGAGATAGTCCTAATGAAGAGGTGGGACCAATGGCCACGCCTTTCCATCCTAACGCTAAAATTATTTAGCAGCATCAGAGAATCAAGCGCTCCAAATAAAAATGATTTTCAGATGACGGAATTTTGCCCTTTCAAATGCCAAATTTTCGTTTCAGCAATGTTGACTTGATAGCCTTTGAAACTACACACCTGTAATGTCTTAAGCTTTTGTTTAGTATCTTTGAAACATTCTAACGAAGGAGTTGGATAACGTAATCTCTGAGATGCCTCGACTCTGGAATGTCCACAATCATTTGACTAACTATAAGATGTTACGGGGAGGACAGGTGGACCTGAGAGCTCTGCCGGCATATTTGTACCAACCCTGGAAGTTCTTAAGCTTTGCTAAGTCTGTGTCCGGTGTGAGTTTTTTTGCTGCCTTCCTCACAGTCAGGCTATCAGAGTGCATTTTCTTTGTGACCAACATCACTGGCCCCTTATATTTTGTTCCCTCTTAGCTACCACCACCTAAAAAGAAACAAGATCGCTAGGCTTGTTATAATTCTGTTAAATAAGAGTTAATCAGTGAAGGCTAGGGGAGAAGTACTTGAGTTCTAATAGGTTCCTAAATAGCTCAGAGATCTCTCTGGCTTCTCCTAGGTTTGCAGTGGGTCCTAGAGGCTAACATTACAAGTAGTCTGATCCTTGAATGAGTGAGGATTCATTGGGTTAAATCTGATTCTGAAATGGGTATTTAACAATTGTCATTTGATGATGACAAAAGCTGGAGTTCTTTAAAATCTTTGAACAAGTGAGGTTTGCCTAGCACCACAAGCAGCAAGATCTTGTGGGAGAAATACTAGGATGCAGAAAGAGGGAATCAGAGAAAAATACAGCTTTGCATCCCGATGTTCTCAGGCTCAGTTTAATAACTTGTGCTCTCTCGTGCTTACTCCCTGACGACATTGCTCCTTCACCTCCCTCACATGCAGACTGACGTACGCTTTTTTGTTCAATTCTCTCTTTTTAATATTATGTGTTCTCTTCGACATGGTCACTCTGCTCATCTCTATCTTTGGGCCTGATTCTGATTATCGTTGCATCCATTTCTCGAGGCATCTCTTGTGGTCGACATCTGCTCGCTCAAGCTCCTCTGTCGGCCCACAGTCATGCTCTGACGCACGCTGGCTTTCGGTCTCCATTGGGTATCGCCGTCCGATGAAAACAAAGGTCGATGTACAGACAGGGTTGGGATTGCCCAGAAGGCAGATCAGCCTCACAATCTACCTTCACCATTTGTACTTTTCCTTGATGTGAGGTGGGCAGGGGATCAGCAGAAGTCTCAATCCCTAGACACTGTACTATAAATATCCTGACAGTCACATCACAGCCTTGCATCCCATCCTGTGATTCCACCCCAATAGGAGGGATCTGAGAGCTTTCTTTCAGTCACCAGCTGGAAGGACCCACCCTCGTAATTCCTGCCTACCATGTCCGTCATGATAGACATTGCTGCACCCAGTGACAGGAGATCCATGAACAGGAGGACGGTTCTCAGACCAGTGACAGCAATGGTCGTTCATTCGCCCTGCAATAAAAAAAATTAAAGGCACTTTTGTACTCATAAATCAGGGCCCATATTTATGTGGCAATATATGACTGAAAAAATAGAAACAAGAAAGGCACAGCTTTTTTTAAAGACAAATGAAAATTCCATTTTCAATAACTAGATACTTAAACCCTCTTTTAGTCGGAATACAAATTGATTGTTTACCCACAAAAAGTTTTATAACGATGGCTCATTTACATGCAAAATCAAATATGACGCGCATGACCGCCACCCCAAAACCCGGCTCTTTGCCCAATGAACAGGGAAGGAAAAGACTGGACAGAAACAGAAGCTTCCATTTTTCCTCACTAATGCCACACTGTACATACCACATCACAACCAAGTCACATTGTGTCATATTTACTCAGAAACAGAATAATTTGGAGCTTGACAACTTTTGTACTGGAAACTTGCCTGTGACTTATCAAACCAATTTCTATACTGCTGGGAAATTGGAGAACCTATAAATTCTAGAATTTTCCTCTGTAGTTGGCATCCTCACAGCTACCTCCGGTGTCACTCGAGAGACGCTGAAAAACATCTGTGTGCTGACACTTTCATTGCTCTGTCATTTCACTTCGAATCTAACTAAAAGAGAGTCACATAAGTCAGAAGATATTTCCATAGGCAAACCGGTCTAAAATGAAATGCCTGTTGCACGACGTTACATGGCATCCTTTACTCTCCTAACTCATTTTAATGTCTTACTTTTTTATGATCGTGCTAAAAAACACAACATGAATTTACCATCTGAACCGTTTTTAAGTGGACAGTACAGTAATGTTAACTATATGCACCTCTTTCTGTGACAGATCTCTAGAACTTTTTCACCTTGCAAAAATGGTACCTATGAAGCAAGAACTCCCCTTTTCTCTCTCCCCGCAGCCCCTGGCAACTACCATTCCACTTTCTGTTTCTAAGAGTTTGACTACTTTAGATACCTCATGTAAGTAGCATTTGTCTTAAGCCTTGTGAAAACGTTTTCTTCATCCGAAAAAATGAACAGAGTCCTGAAGAACTACTGGTCCTAGTGTGTCATTCACCTTAACCTAATTTTATTTAACGAATATTCGCTAATGGTGTAATAAATATGTCATGATCGAGTTACTAGGCTCAATGGAATCTTTGTTATCTCAGATTATCTCGCCAAGAAATTTGCAGTGGTTCATGGGTTTAACAGCAATGTCAATTTCCACAGCTATTTATCATTATCCAGTATCTCTTAATATGTGCTACCAAAACATCACACGTGTGGTATTATTCATTCTGAGTTTCAAAATCATCACAAAAATAAGTCCCGAATGTAATAAATACAGTAGCCAGTCTTTAACGTGCATTTAAAGAGATAAGTCATCATAGCCCATCCTGTAACAGCAAGATAATTTCCAAAGGGACCTAGGCTGCCCACGGCTGCACTTGCCTTAGAAGTCAAGAAGAACTGGTTTTCTGGAATCATTTCTCCACTTACTTTACCTTTAGCCTGGGGATCATTTCCAACTGGTATAGACCATGGAACGCCATTCCTAGCATTCCGTGGATGCAAGGGAACGTGGGTTTCATAACCCCTGGCTCTGTTCAGCATCTCTCAGATCAAGGCAATGCTACTGAGGGCCATCGCTTAGGGAACATTTGGGGTTTTCTAGATTTTTTTCTTTTTCTTCCTTTCCCCAAATCCACATATCCTTTCTGAGAAAGGCTAACAGCTTCTCCCAATCTCTAAGCAGCAGAAAACCCAAAGTCTAGCTCCTGGGGAGGCCCTGTCTCTGAACTTGTCAACCTCTTCCTTGCCCTTCTAACTCTTCCCTGCAGCCCAACCAAAGGGAGCCCTCTGATCCTTTTTTGGTAAAAAAGCATTTGAGCACCTACGCCAGCCAGAAAGCCCACTGACGTCTGGACTCCAAAGACTTCTGAAATGAAATTGGCATCATGATTTTTCCAGAGAGGCAGCATCCTTCCTATTCTCCCCCTAAAAGTCTGTGGTCTTTCTTAGAGACTGACGCTCTCTGCTGACTCAAACGCTTTATCGAATGCTCTCTGCCACCTGGGAAGTCTGAAAGGTTTAATATTGTACACTCTGGGGCAAAAAATATATATATATTTCATTTTCTCCCTGCCACCAGAGCCATCATCTTCCTAAAGATGAGGGCAGCAGCGGCCCTCCCCAAGAAAGCTCTGCGTCCTACAGTTTGCAACGATAAAGCAGTGCTTTTGGGAAGTGGGATTATGTTTACAATGATGGTCATGACTCCAGTCCCTAGAATGTTTGAGAAACAAAAATAAGCTTTTCAAATTGCCTAAGTTCTGCAGAATCAGCAGGCCCCTGCTGGGACCAATCAAGAAGAGCCTTTGGAAGAGATACTGACTCATTCTTTCCGATGTGCTGATTGGCTGTGAGGAATGGGCGGGGCCACTGCCTGTGTCCGGCTTCCCATAGGTGAATGAAAGTTAAGGTGGGCCTCCAGCAAGATTTTGTCCCGTGACAACTAAGAATGTCTTGGGGACTTTTTTTTCTGCTCCGGAGGCCCAGGCTCAAGGCAAATTATAAGTGGGAAATCAATTTGAAGGAAAGAAATTTGAACTGAGTTAAGGTGCCAGGTCCTGGGAGAGGAGCCCAGCCCTATCCGAAGTCTGCATCCTCTGCTGACAAACCCATGGGGGTGGGAGGCGGGGGGCTTGATTTAAGTGAAGCGGGGTACTAGATTTTTTTTTAAGGGAAGGGGGGTGGGTACAGTGAGCACAGGTAGGAAGTGAAACTGCCCCCAAACAGGCCATCAGAAGGAGGAAAAATGATGGAGGGCAAAATATTCTGTTGGTATTTTTAAAATTTTAAAGCCTTTAAATGACTTCTTCAAGGCCAAACAGCTGCAGCAGAGGTTTAATTTTGATTGATTAAGGGGGCTTTTGCCAAGCCCTAGAATGAAGTTCCTCTATTACTAATCCAGCAAAGAGGGAACCCACTATGCCCCGGTTTACCATCCTTTCCCAGTTCCTTTTTGCTGGGCATAAACCATGCTCACCAATCTCACCTAAAACAGGAGGCAAGGAGCCCAGCCTTTTGTGCAAGCAGGGGCTGTAACTGCCCTCCTATTCTGCCCCAAGACGAAACAGGACTCTTGGAAGCCGAGAAAGACGTAAGAAGTCATTTCTGGACCGAGTGCGAGCGTCGCGAGGAGCGAAGGCATTTATTTGGCCGGCCCAGCGGGCTCCGAGGGGGACCAGAGTGCAGAGGTCCAGGATGGGCTTGCTGAAGGGCCTTCTGCGAGCAAGGAAACTGCTGCTGGTCATCTTGGTGCCGCTCCTGCTGCTGCCTCTGCCCATGCTCCACCCCAGCAGCGTGAGTACTGGCCTGTCCCCTCCTGGGGCCAGTGGGTGAGATGGGAGGTCAAGGAGATGAGGTGGGTGGAGGGAAGGGGGTGCCTACACAGTTCTTCAACGTGCTTTTCTGTTGATTTGAAGAAATGGAAGTGTTTTCCTGGAGGAGGTGAAAATACTCTCTTCCTAAAAACTGCCATTTTCACCCCTCTAATTCATTCTCAGTCCCCCATTCCAGCACCCCCAGCCAGGAAGGAGATTAGAGGAGGGGCTGCTGAGCTGGCTGATGTGTTACACAAATCAGTGGGCCAGCCTTCCCCAGCAGCAGGGCCGGGCCCACGTGCCGATAAGAAGAAGGACACCCTGTCTCCTGTAGTTGTCGGCACTCAGCATGTGACCATATGTATGGGAGAGCAACTGCAGATGCAGGAAGTCCTCCCCTTGATGACACTGAGGAGAGAGGATGGGGGAGGGAGGGGACTGGGGACAGCAGGACTGGGGTGGGGTAGAGTGTGGTCCTGAGGGGGCTCTGGTGCACTTAGCATGGGCCAGTGGGCGGGTCATGGGCTCTGATAACCAGGCTTTGAACTTCATCTCCAAAGTTCCTTCTGAACGTTGAGTTGAGGGGGAGCTCAGCATCTTGCCCCGGTCCTGGAAGACCGCCCTTTCATGATTTGTAGCCTCTGTGTTTTCCTCTCTGTGCGCTTGAAGGGAGACGTCAGGCGACATGATAAAAAAAAAAAAGAAAAAAGAAAAGAAAGAAAGAAAGAAAAAGAAATAAGCGCCCCCAACTGTGACCTAATTTTTGAGCGGGTTTGAGTGAGCGGAGGAGCCACAGCTCCGGCTCTGCTCTTGGCTCGATTTCTCAGGCCATCACTTGCCTCCCTTCCCTCCCCGGCTGTCTCCACCTTCCCGTCACCCCCTCCTCCTCCCTCTCTTCCTCCTCCTCCTCTCAGTGGCTTTAGCGCGCGCCCCCCCATCCCCCCTGCTTAGACTTTAAGGAAAATAAGCTCAGAGAGGTTAAGCGTGTTTGTGGGAGGGGAAGTGCGCCCTCCACCCATCTCCCAGAATAAGGTAACCAAGATTAAGTTACAAAGTTAAATAGAGGGGATTAGGATGCTTCTTCTTAAAAACAAGCTGGCTTAAATCTTTAGTAGAATAAATACCCCAGAGTGCCAGGGAGACGCTGATTAAACCCGGGCTGGGATTAGCAGACAGTGATTACTGCTGACAGATTTCTTGGCCTGTACACTAGTCAATTTTCTGCTTTGTCCAAATGAGCTGATTTTTTTTCTTTTCCTTTCATGCTTTTTCTTTTCTTTTTTTTCTTTTTTCTTTTTCCTTTTTTTTTTTTTTTCACTCAGTAGCAAATGGATTTAAGGGAATGCCAACTGAAGACTCATTGCCCTCTTCTCCATAGCGGTATCTGGCACCCCGTGTCCTCTTAAGTCAACCTCATCCTTGGGGACCCCGACTTCAGGGTGCAGCGTTCCCCACATTTCATTCTGGGACCCCATTTTTGAGCTTCTTAGTTACCAATGACTAGTGAGAAATAACCACAAAAAAGGAAAAAAATAAAATAACGAATTATTAAAATAGGCAAATCTGTAAATTTGAGGAGAAAGGGATGTGGCAGGGATAAAAAGAGGAGAGATAAAAGACAGGTGAGCCCCTGTAAATAATTTTGGGTCTGTAAATAATTTTTCAAAGCTGGACTTGCTAAAACCAGGATTCGGTGAGGGCCCTTTCTTGACCTTGCCCCTTCTTCTAGACTGAGTTCACCTCAGGACAGGGTGTCTCAGCAGCCACACTCGTGACATTTGGGGCCAGATAATTCTTCATGGTGTAGGGAGGGCTGTCCCTTGCCTCGTAGGGTGTTTAGCAGCATCCCGGGTGCCAGTGGCACACACTGCCTCTGCCCCTCCCCCTCATCGTGATAGCCGACAGGCTTCCCGATATTACTAAATATGCCCTGGGGGCAACATTGTCCCCAGCCAAGAACCAGTGCCTCAAGAAAATAGAAACTCGGGACCTCAGTGCTTCCCAGTCACTGCACGTGGATGAGTGAAGGGCAGAATATTGACCCCCATGTCCCTTGGGACAGCCAGATAGAGCCTAGGTTGGCCAATGCCTTCAGAACTGGATGCAGCCGGCTTGCCACCTATCCCAGCATGCCCTGCACAGATGACTTCTCTGTGTGTCACAGTGTCAACAAGAGCCCTCTTTTTCCTCCACAATGATGTGAAAGCACCTGGAGGTGACCAGTGCCCAAGCAGGCACAGAGCAGCATGTGGAATGTCTCTCACCCATCCCTCCCTTCTTGCACGAAACTTTTAGATTCTGATATTTAATCCTTAAGTTTCCTAAATGGACTTTTTTTTTTTGCTCTGGACTGGAGCTGAGAGAAGGAACCTGGGCGGCAGCTCCTGGCCTGCAGGTCTGGAGGTTCTCCACAGTGAAAAGCTACATTCCAGGTAGGGTTAGAATGACCTTTTCCCTTTTTCTAGCCCAGCTTGCTAAAACCAGGGGCCCAGACTCTGTTTACCATATTACAGAAGAAGAAGGCATGGGAGGGGTTATCTATAAGCAAGCCCTGCTTTAATGTCCCCAAGGGGATAAAAGCTACACCTAACTCTGAAAGTAAATTTCAAAAAAAGGCCTCCCAGTCACTTACAGAGGTCCCCAATGGGTCCATGGCTTGTTAGGAATTGGGCCACACAGCAGGAGGTGAGTGGCAGGTGAGGGAGTGAAGCTTCATCTTGACATCAAATACACAGACCAAAAGCCCCTAGCAGTGAAGTTTGGATGAGATGTCACTGGGATGGTCGAAATGCATGGAAAAGGAGCAGAGGCAAGCATCAATTAGTAGCAGAGTCAGGAAACATCCAATGTGGGGAAATGCCACTTTTTAATTCTCTCCTGCATTTGTAAACAGGAGCAAAAAAAACCCCAAAAAAAACAAAAAATCACAAAAAAACAAACAAACAAATACTCACAATTGACAATACTATCGCTTAAAAGCACTACCTGAATATTCGCCAACCCCAGCATACCTGCTGACCAGAGGCAGTGATAAGGGGCCTGGGATTTTCAAAATATCTTTGCCAGCAGATAAGAGAGACCTGTTGGTCAACAGAGGAGCCCAGTTCAGTTCGACCAACATTGATTGAGCAGATGTGGGGGTCACGGGACTCCTTTAATAAAACTTCACAGAGTATTTTGGGGTGTCCGAATATAAGCTTACCTATTAAATTTTGAGAAGGTTGAGAAAGTATAGAAAAACAATTTATGTAAATTCCACGAGTGAACTGGGTGAGAAATGCATGGAAAGGCCTTCTGAAGGTCTTTTTTTTCTGCTCTAAGTAAAGTCCAGTAACAAGGATGGTAGTTTATCGTGTTCTTCATCCTGCTGGATGAAGGTGGCATGGTGACTTCTTCCAGTAACCTATTCTAATCTTTAGCAATAGTTACAATCAAAAAGTTTACTTTGGATTACCCAAATTCTCCTAATTCAAACCAAAGTGGTGCCTGGTACAAGAAAGGTTTCTGTCTCTCTTCTCGATCTCTCTATGTCTGTCTCCCCTTCTCCCTCCCTTAATTTATGGCCCTGTGATGACTAGGGCAAGAAAGACTGAAGGTGCTAGGGAAAAAATAAGCACATCTCAGTGAGGGACAGATATTCCGTCCCCTTTATCTTCAGCTGGAGTTAATACCTGCCCTTCTGTCTCTTTCCCAGGTAAGAGGTGAAAATAAGTGAGCTAAAGGGCTTTGAACTTCTTTAGAGAATTTTACTGCTGCAACAAAGGGTGTATTTCTCTAAATTGCATTCTTTTCCAAATGGAGCCTTTTTATTTTTCCACTATTGATTCTGTTATCTTATCAGCCCTTCCAAAAAATTTTCGCTTCTCTCTGAACTTTTGGCCCCAGAGGAGTTCTCAGCAGGAGCTATAGTCAACAATTGTCGGGGCCAGTTCCCATTTCCCAAGCCCCAACCCCATAATCCACGCATATCAGGAAGGAGTAAGGCCCGAACAGCTGGGTTAATCACTCCTCATGCCCCTCACTGATCACTGCGACCTTTTGTAATTTTTGTGCAAGACAGTGAGGACACTTGTTCTGACCCCAAGGGAGAGATAAACAGAACAAGATTTGTCAGGTTCCTTGATCACCAGCCAGCTCAGGGCAGGTCAGACCTGAGCCCAGATGGTTTCGAACTATGTATAAATCGAGGAGCCCACAGCCAGCTCGGCTGTTCTGCCGCGGCCCTCCGAGTCCAGCGTTACTGCCCCTTGGACGGTGAACTCTCCTAAGAGTAAACCAGTGACTTTTCTCAACACCATTCACCTGTGCCATTCCAGGCACCCACCATGACTGGAGGCCAAGGTTAAGGAGAGCTGATTTTCTTTTTTTTATAAGAATGTTGTACTAATTTATTCTTTGCACCCAGAGGCTGTGCAACCAGCAAAGTGAAACGGGCAGGGAAAACTGCTGGCAAATTTCCAGGCCTTCTCTCCAGGTGACTGCACTGTCTACTCCCTTTGTCAGAGAATGCTTCCATGTGCATCAAGCAGGTGGACTGGAGTCCCAGAGCAATGAGAACCAGACATGGCTTAGCGCACTGGTTCTCAGCCAGGGACGACTTTTCCCCCAAGGGACATCTGGCCCTGTCTGGAGACGGTTGGGGTTGTTACAGTTGGGGAGCTGCTACTGACACCTAGTGGGTAGAGGCCAGGGGTGCTGCTAAACATCTCGCGATGCATGGGACAGCCCCCCACAGCAAGGAGGGACAGCCCCCCACAGTAAGGAATTAGCTGGCCCCAAATGGGCCCATCTCTGAGCTCACATGGGAACCGATTACGCAAATCGATCCCTACCTTTGACTACCCCAAGAACCTCTAGTGTCTGATTAACTTGACACCAAAATGTCCTGCTTGAGTCCAGCTTAAAGCTGGGAACTCCACTTTTACGGTATATGACCTTGGCTCTGAATACTGCAGTTACTTTCGGTCCCCACCCTAGACAGTTTCAGGACGCAGCAGAGCTGTGATGTCATCACAGTCCAGTGGCCACCCTGCTGCAAACCAGTGCAAACCACATGCCAGGCACCTGTTCACCCTAGGAGCAGCCATTAGATCATACACCAATGTATGGTTCCTCACGGATCCGCCACACACACAGCTTGCCAGAGCCCACCTTGCGCCTGCCAGGGCTGCATCTCATTGCTCACGTCTGAGTTCGGGTGCTTGCTGCCTCTGCCCTGGGTCTCGTCTGGATTTTCAGTGGCAGTGGCTGTCCCCGTGACTAACCTGCCCACTTTCCTCCCCTTCCAGGAGACTGCGTGTGCTTACGTGCTGATCGTGACTGCCGTGTACTGGGTGTCGGAGGCCGTGCCTCTCGGAGCTGCAGCCCTGGTGCCCGCCTTCCTCTACCCGTTCTTCGGAGTCCTCCGATCCAGCGAGGTTAGACCCCCTGCGGCCCAGCCCCCTGCTAGGGTCCCTGCCAAGCCAGTGACAGAGGGCTTAAGGAAAAGGGAGATGCACAAAGCAGTTGAGGAGAAGGCTTTTTTTACCCTCCGCAACAACCCCTGAGCACCAAGCCTTCGCATGTGCTGTTCCAGACCCTGAGTTCCTCTCCCGCCACCCACGACCCTCCTCTCCCTCAAACTGCCCCCTTCAGCTTTGCGAGGGTAGCGTGACTTGGTGAGGTGAAGGCTTAGGCATCTTATTGCTGGGGCTGGAGACAGGAAGCCCTGGAGGAGGCAGAGGGCAAGTTTTAGCATTTGAGGTGGAAAATTCTACCCCATCTGTCTGATAAAGTGGCTGCGGCTGGTGATATTTCGCTCTTGGGTTGCAGGGAGCAGCTTAGAACAAGTCTGCTGTGCTCAGATTTGAAGAAAATGCTTTTGGGATGGGGCCTATGGGGCATAGCTCTTTGTGAACCAGTTAACTTTGCAGACAGAGAAAACATCTGTTCCACAACCACCGGCCACCCCCCTGCCCCGGCATGTATCATGGCGCACCAGGAAAAGCTAGGCTGGACTTGGGCAGGGGACCCCTGTCCCAGACGAAGCATCTACTTGTCACCCCTCAAACCCACCTTGTGCATGTCCAGCCTCAGGCCATTCTTCCACCTTGAAAAGTTCTCTCCAATTCCTTCAACCTTTAAAATCCTACCCAATTAACCTTTCAGTGCAGCTTTTCTAAAGACCTTGGCTAAAAGTATTGTTCCCTTCGCTCGGAGCCCATTTGATGTCTTTGTCCTTTAAATAACACCAGATATAAAAACTCTGCAGATATGTCCTCTTTCCACCAAGATTCACTCCCTCCAGGATGAATGAAGTCCATGGCTAGTGGGCAGTGCAGGCCACTCTCTCACTAGTGTTTCTTAATAGCATTATAGTGTAAGAAATTCATGTTTCTCAATAGCAGTGTTTCTTGATCGGGTATCAGTAGTGTATTTTCCACACGCAGGCAGGTATCTGAACAGGATCAGCGTGACTCTGAGACTGTGGCCTTTGACTCATGTTTTTCATCCAACATTCAGAAAAATATTTTCTGAGTTCTGTATCCACCATGTGCAATATAGGATGTTACAGGGACCCTTAGAGCGACAAAAACAAAATACATAATTTCTTTCCTCTTGACCCTCACAGCTGACGCTTCTGAGTTTCTCACTGTTGGCTAGATGTATGCCTAGAAGGGGTTCATTTTTATGGGGATTAACAAATCACCACAAGAGTTTGTCGTGTGTGAAGCTTAGACGGCCTTCTCTCTGCGAAACTCAGGTCCCGAAAAGACATAGGAAACGATAGAAACGACTCCTGACCTCGAGAAGTTTCCATTCGACCAGAGAGAAAGTATAGATCACATGGAAAAACACAAAAGACCCTCATTTTCTGGTGCTGCGGAGATTTATACAACGCCCCATGAGGGGATGTTCTAGACAAATGAAATTTACCCCGTCACGTGCCCAAAATTTACGTTGATCTCTTTTTGATTGAAGTCTTTCTAAAAAGCTTTATAATTTCCCTAGTCTTTTAAATAGAAATTGTTGAATATAAATTAACTTTTTTTTGCTGGGGGGGAGCCTTTAAATTAACTTTTTTTTTTTTTTGGAGCCTTTACAATTTCCAAGGGGAAAAAAATGATCTTTCAGAGGAGCCGATGTGGGCTGGATGACAGCACAGTTGAGTAACTTGAGTGCTGGCTGAACAGTTGAACTTAAAGAATCTTGAGTAACATATTGGCACCAGACTAGAGAAAGACCTCACATGAAAATACGAAAGTCATGTTATCAGATTAGCAGATGACTCAAAGATGGATGTGCTAGATTATACGGTGACAGAATCAATGTTGACAGGAGGAGACAATGAATTAAAACTGACAAAACAAAGTTTAATAAGGATAAATGTCAGCAGCCTGTGTGAAAAAGACCCTTGGCTCTTAGCTGAGTACAAACTCAGCATGAGTCATGTATCGCTACAAGGTGGCTGCCAAAATTGTGAGCATTTACCATATGCCAGGCACTATGGGAGGTCCTGTACATGCATTTAATCCTCTACAAAATGGCTATTATTTTTATCGTCAATTTACAGAGAAGAGGAAATTGAAGTTCAGAGGGGTTAAGTAACTCACTGTAGGTCACACAGCTAGTTAGTGGAGCTTGAACCCAGAATTGTACGATGCCAGAACGTGTGCTCTTAACCACTGGCCGATATTTACTGAAATCTGCTGAATGAATAAATATACGTGTCCAGAGCATCAAGTTCTAGATAAGGAACTCATTCAGAGGTGGGTAGGCAAGATACCGAAAATCTAGAACATGAGTCCCATGAGGAATGAAGAGAAGACTCGAGAGGGGCGTGGTTTCTGGCTTCTACAGCTCAAGACACCAAGCTCACGGGTTAAACCAGAACCAGAGAGTCAAAGCACCATGAGGGAGACCCCGCTCTGTGTGAGGGAAGAACAGCGTGGTCCTGCTGTTCCCATCCCTGGAAATACAAGCCAGAGGCCCACGCCAGGGATGCTGGAGGTAGACTTTGTGCCGTGGAAGAGGAATTGGGATCTAGGGGTCCTCTGACTTTAGGATTCTGTGATCGACTTGTGAGCATCCAGCCAGTACTTCTTTCTGCTGGTATATAGAGCTCGGTCCTATGTTTTCGATTTATTTTAAGGCTTTTGTCTTGTTTTGTTGTGCCTCCATTGTGACTCTCACTACTGTCATTATACCTGCTTCTTAAGTCCTCTGAGCCCTTCTAATGTGTTGCCATAGCCTGGGACAGTATCGGTGTCAATCAAGCTGGCTAAGATTTATTGTTTATAGGAGAATGGCAGGGAGGTGGGGGCCAAAGGGCTCTCTGGGGAACCAAACAGCCTGGTTTGAATGATGGGGCTTGGGATAGTCTCCAGGATGCCCAGAGTCAGGAACTACTTCTGGGAGTGATTACTTCTGCTCTCTCTCCCCCCGCAATCCCATGCGCACATGCGCACACACGTGCACACACACACACACACGCACACGCCCTCCGCTGTCTCAGTGGCCCTGCACTGCAGGCCCCTGGCAAGTCTTGTTCAGATTCCAGTTCCTACCAGGTCAAGAGAGGCAACGAGGCAGCTCTGGCTGGGATAACAAAACAGCCGCTGCAGCCAAGTGACGCTTGAGTCTGATGTCATGATCGGCCTCCCTGTTTGCTCCTGATCTTTCTGACCCGCTGGATTCCTGATCAATGCCTAGACTCCGGCGTTTTCTGTTTGTTCCAACCCGGGGGCATTTGATCTATCGCTTTCTACTCTGCCTTTCTGGCCTCGGCTCCCCATGGAGGCTGCCCCCTCACCCCCCACCCCGCATACAGACCTGTGAGGATGTTGGCTGAGCATCTGGGCTGGCCACCTGCCTGACCCGGGCTTCCCATCACCCACAGCCATGCAGTCACAGCCCAGAGCTGAGCTCTACGCCCACGCCTTCAGTGGGGACCGGAACCGGGAACCTACAGAACTCACAGTCTTTTGAGGCCAAACTAATGTTTCTGTGGGAATGGCCTATTCTCTGAGAAACAGCCTAAGAATCAGCCAGCCCCTTTGCCTCTGGGCTGGAACCCCAGTTTCCTCCACTGGGGTGGCTCCTGCAGTCCCGAAGAAACCAGGGTACTTCGTGCCAGCATTTCCAGCTACGCAGGAGCTGGGCTGACATCCAGACCAGGTCAGCACCCACCTGGGTCTTTCTGCTTTTTCTCCTTTAGACTTCTCTAAAGTACGGTTTGCAAAAAAAAAAAAAAAAAAATGCTTTCTTAAGCAACAAAACCTTTCCTATAAACCGAGTTTAGGAGACTGAATATATACAACAGATGGAAGAGGAAGTCCCTATTCAGATTGGGGGTGGGGACCAGAGCCCTGGCTGCCAGGGCCCCCTGACCTTTCAGAGGCAGCGAGTGTGGTTTGAAAGCCTCTGTCCTCAGGTCAGGTGATTCGGTGGAGCCCAC